ATGTCGTGTGTTGTGATTATAGAAGCCATCCAGATGACTTAAGGGTTGAAGGACTAGACAATCATTATTTGTCTTTAAATAAGAAAACTATTAATACTGCTGCTCTTATACACAAGAAGTAAATCTGGAAAACAAATAGTCATTTTAAAAAAAATGTGCTGTAGAACCACAGTCTTTTTGTCACCTTTTTGTTTTTGCAGTGCAAATGCCAAAGAGGCTACTGAAATAATTTGATCCCCGTCTGGCCTGTCTGATAAGGTGCCGTGCAGGAAGTTGTAGTTTGTGATGAGTTCCTGTGGGCTTGGTGGTTCAGAAGACGCAGAATTCACTAGAAAGGAGAGAAAGGAAAAGGATGTAGATTATATCAGTCCAAGAATGAGGATATGGTCAGTGAAGACGCTGAACACAAGTTCGAGTTCTGGGGAGACTAGATGGGTGAAAAGTATATTTTGCCTCTAATTTTCTCACTCTCAATGTTGGTGGATTGTTCTCAGACTCAGTTTTAGAGTTTTTACTTCACAAATCTCTTCACAAGTTTTGACACCTTGGTTTGAAACAGTGGCGGCCGGTCCATACGGGCAATAAAAAAAAAAAACATTCATCCCACAAAGTAGTTCCTCCTAATAGTGTAAATTACTTATTTACTAAGCTTGCTGTGTATTATTTTGTTCTGTGTATTTGTGAAGTATTTTGATACTTTTAAGTGTCGTTTAAAATGATTTTTACCGATTCGTCCTCAGTTTTTTAAAAACGTATTTACCGTTAACGGGGCAGTGTCGTTTAACAACCCACGTTCGTCAAGCGGATCCAAACAAGCAGGTCCAATAGAATTTCATTTTCTGCTCCGAGGACACATTTGGCTGGTTTTAGCGCATTGATACGACCTCTGCTTAGACCTGACGTGAACTCAAACCCAGGAACGGTTGCAGTGAAACCTGCTGAGACCAACAGTGGAGATATTCTGTTTTTAAAGCCATTTGAAGCAGACGGAATGGACCAGAACAGAAAACTGAAAAGAACCGAGGAAAGTTAATCAAGTTATTCTGTGTGTGGCTGTGGTGGGTCAACAGTTGAAAAAATGGTCTTGTAACTGAGTGTGGGTTTGATTCCTACTTGAAACATCTGTTTGATTCGGTGATGATATCATCATTTTTCACTTTTATATTATTTTAGAGTTACTTCACTGAAATTGTTGGCTCTCATTTAACTGTGGTAATCTGGAGGATTGTTTCAGATTTATTACTTCAAGTCAAATTAGAAATCCTGTTCAGAAAGCTGCATGTTTGTCAGCTGGGGGTGGGAGGCGTCCGTTTCTCTGATTTATTAGACCGGACTGTTTTTCACGAGACACAACCTCAACCCACGGGAAGGGGGAAAAAAAAGGCAAAAGCCAAAAAAACAACAAAAAATAACAATAAAGCAACGTGTATCTGTTTTCCTTTTCCACAGAAAATTTAACGCAATTTATAAAAAATGGTGTGTTCAGTGATTCAGCAAAATATTTTCTGTCCCACTAATATTTTTGCTCAAGAGCTGCCACTGGTTTGGAAGATAATTAAGTGGAGCAGGCAGCACAATTAGGTGATTAGACACCCTCATTGAGTGTTGTTTGAAATGGCAGCCAGTGTTTTTTTAGTGGGGGTTGCAGCATCAGTCAGACTGGGAACCAATACAGCAGCAGGGTGGGGGGAACTTTCACACGTAGTGATACTTTCCTGATCAAGTGGCCCAACACACACCAGGATGCCACATCAAGTTGCACACTGTGACGTTTCCCGCTTCTACATATTGCCAGTCCATCAGACATCTCTTCCTACCCCCTCACTCTTTCTGTTGTGTTTACAGTGACCAGTAAAGTCCTAACGTCCCCTTAAGCACTGCTGAATTTCACACCCGGGACAAACGTATCCACAGTTTACGAGAAAGCTTCGTCCCAATGGATGCAATCTTCATCTCGCTTTTACTACTACGAAAACATCTTCTTATCTGCTCCTCTTCACACGTCAGCATCTAATAACCACCCTCTAAGTGAGCCTGCACAGTAGTTCACAGCTTCTGCAGTGTGCTTTTTAGATAGAGATGCTACTTTCATTACTTCTAGCAGGTTGACAGACAGAATCAGTTACGCACATTCTCTTTCCAAGTCTTACTCTCTCTTATAGACGTTCTAAAGAACTTTGTCTTCAGTGAACTGAATTTATTGGCAGCTTAAAGATTACAGGAGGTATACTTTCAAATCATACAAATAGAAATCATGTTTGACCATAGATGATGAATAATGAACTGGAGGCATCTAACAATCAACTAGTAACTCAGTTTGTCTGTAGTCCTGATAAATTGGTTTAAGTTTTATGCTTATTGTCTTATGCAGATCAACACAAGGTCAGCAATGCAATGAAATGCTCAGGATGAGAAGAACCATCTCAACTCGCCAAAAAACAACAACAAGAAATACCAAAGCATGCAACAAAAACACAAAAACAAGGCGCCAAGAGTGAAGAAATACATCTACAGCAGAATGGTCCTATTAGCAGCATGGTACTGTTAGCAGAGTGGTTCTGTTAGCAGTGTGGTTCTTTTAGCACCATGGTACTGTTAGCAGAGTGGTTCTGTTAGTAGTCAGGTTCTTTTAGCACCATGGTTCTGTTAGCAGCATAGTCCTATTAGTAGTATGGTTCTGTTAGTAGTGA